CTCGTGTTCCTTCCCCTCCCTTCCCCATTATACCTACACACAAGGCAAGCCATGCCAAGTCAGAACCACAGTCTCACTCAGACCCTGCAAAAACCTTTATTGCCCCTCTTTGTTTCTGCTTTTAGCCCTTTCTCTCTCCCCTCCATCCCTGTGTCTAGCCACACCAGCCTCCCTTCACTTCTCAAACTAGCCAAGCATTCCCCTCCTAGGTACTTGTGTAAATGCTGGTTCCTCTGCCTAAATCCACTCTGCCCTACCCCGGCCCCCTTGATCTTCATGCCCCAGGTGTCAGCCCAGGTGTCACTTCTTCAGGAAGGACTGAAGTGGGTTCCTCCTGTGATTCTCTCTCACTGCATCCTGTCATTTTCATTGTTCTTACGATTTGTAAGTATATGTAAATTCCATGCTTATGGGTTTAATGTCTGTTTTCTCCACTAGACTACAGACTCCCATGTTGGCTACTATCTTCATAGTACCCAGTATGGAATCTAACACATATGCATGTTCCATAAATATTTTTTAGCTGTTTCTTGGAGGAATGCTATTCTTTCCTCTCCCCTTTGGGATATACTCCTATAGCCTCCTCACCAAACCATATAGAACATTACACACACACACACACACACACACCCACACACACAGACACACACACACACACACACACAATTCCCATGGAGCCCATATCCCTGACCATTTCCTTCATTTTCTTTCCCCAACATTTATTCATACATTATCATGAATTAGGTTGCATTCTCTGGTTGTTTCACGCTTCCCTAATCACATTGTTAATTTTTCAAGGGCTAAAAGTCCATCAAGATCTTTTTTAGAATCCCCCATAAACCTAGGAGAATAGCCAGGAACATGTTTTAGTGCTTAGTAATTTCTTGATGAATGAATGAATAGATCAATCCGTCAATCCTAGTTTATTCCTTTTGCACAGAGAAAATCTTCACATTGCAGCAGAACAATTTCAAACCACAGCCCACTGCTGTAGTCCCTCTTCTTGGGCTACTATCTTGAGTTTCAATAAGAAGAAAACAATCTTATCTTGAAAGGGGGCTTTGATTTATTTTTAATAAGAAAGACTGAATTGGAAGCTTGCATTTTCCCCAAAATTTAATAATAGCACTAGTAACGCCTTACACTTTTCTCTGGCCTTATTTCAGGTGTGACTTTGAAGCTCCCAGTTAAGTTTCTGTTATGATGTAATAGCAAGACCAATATCACCAAACCCACCCACAGGAGGGGTCACAGAGCAGGGGTGTCAGTCTAGTCTAAGCATGTTTTCAGAATCAGTCAGTCCAATGCAGAAATGGGCAGAGAACTTGAAGGAAACATCAGGTTACTTGATGCCACTGTACTTAAACATCTGGGGTCCTGATAGTAAACCCTGGTAACTTTGATAAGAAATAGCTTTTGATCTTGCTCACTTTCTTCACTCACAATTAGAACAAAACAAACTCATGTGGGTAAAATGTTATGCCCAAAACAATAACTTACTGAATTGGGGTTTCAATTTCTACATTTGCCCTGTTATTCTGAGGCAGAAACTTCTGTTTACTGGTTGCCCTGCCAGTAAACCTCAGATTGCTTAGTTGCTCATGTTATCAGTACTGTTAATGGTTAACAACAACAACAAATATAAGCATATATGTGCACATATATATATATTTACTATTTGTTGTAATATATGCATTTTAATTTACTTTGACAATTGTCTAGCAGGTTCTGTCTAGTTCATAGTATCTTCCCCAATTTTGTATTTGATCTTACAGGCCAGGAAAAAGAAACCAAGGTTTTCTAAATACCCATGAACATTGTCAAGGTTGGTATGAGGTCTGTTCTTCATGTGGCATCACCTAATCACCTATTTTCCTACCTCTGCTTGGCTTTGTGACAATTAAAAGAGCCTATAAGAGGAGACCGCTAATGAGTGCCCTTCTATCCCCATCTCTCAGGCTACAGAAGTCCTGAAGGTTGATGGAGGGCCATGCTATTCAAACAGCAGGTGTGGCTGAGACAGAAGCTCCTGGTGCTGGGAAGCCTTGCTGTTGGGAGTCTCCTGTATCTAGTCGCCAGAGTTGGGAGTTTGGATAGGTAGGTGATTAAACACATACCTATGCCCATGTGACTTTATGTGTTTCTTGACTTAAACTTCCTTAGGACATAATTTTAAACCTACCCTTTTGTTTCCCTCCTTCAAAACTCCCAAGAAACATGCTTTTTTTGCAGTATTGATTTTGATCTATTGAGCCTTTAAAACAGAGATCCAAGTTGTTCTGACCAAGTGTTTGTCAGGATCCATTTGTATTCTGTGTGCATTGACATTTATTTTCAGAGAAGGGATAAAGCCATGTACAGGAGAAATGTCATTTTCTAGGGCTCACTGTGGTCTGTGTGCATCTGGTTGTTGACCTCTAGCCATAGCAAAATGGTGCTGATGTAATTAGGTATCTTCATTGTGAAATTTATGAGTGAGCCATTAATGTGCTACCAGGAGAGTTAAAATTATGTTTGCGCCTATAAAGGAGCTCATCAAATTTGGAACCCACTGCCCTGGAAAGATGGCTGCAGGCGAGGGGAGTTTGAACTATGTTAATTAGCTCTGGTTTCCAGGAGTTGAATGTACCAGACAAGGAGCCTGTCACTCAGAGTAATTGCCCAGAAACCAATGGAAAATCTATGGAGAGGAAATTTACAGAGCAAGGGGTTGCCTCTAAATAAGCAAACAGTTGAAAGGTGCTCAACCTGCAGAAGCCGAGCAATATCATCCGACGGCACAATGAATACCTCTGGGCTGTCCGACATCCAGCATGACAGTGAAGGACAGAGATTTGCATTTATGAAATGTGGAATTTCCTTCTTCGCTCTTTAAATTAACTATTGCTCTGGAGAGGCTGACATATGTTCTCCGTGCATTCAGTTCGTAGTTCCAATTTCTGTGAAAATGCAGCCACACTTCAAAAGGAAAATATCTCCGTTGCAGTTTTCCTTTTCTATAGATCTTACCACAATAGATATTTACCAAATAATATAGCAGTGTTCTTTATTTCCCTTCTGCCAGTGTCAATTTTGACTGGTAAACTGAACCCCTTTATGTTTTTCATTTCAAAAATCCAGAGTAAACATCCACGTACTAGTTGCTAACTATGCAAAATGGTATGATCCAGAGCTTATCACTGACTTCAAGTAGTTCCCTAAAGGTAGTGTTTAGTTATTAGTGAAAAGCCTTAAGATGGTATCATTGTCCTATGTCCATAAAGGAACTTTTATATCAAGTTCTTCCCAATCATTTCCTTTTTATTGAGTAATTGATCTAATGTTCATTAACGTATTAGTTTACTTAGTTGATTCTTTTCATTTTTCACCTGCTCTATAGTCTCAAATGGTATCATTTTTATAAGGAGTTAGATTGCTTATTGGGCCTTCTCAAAAGTTCTCAACTGAGAGTCTGAGCAGATTGCATCTAAAATTTACACATGCTGACTTACACTTATCTTTTAGTAACTCTGAATGGGAGGCTGAGTTCTGTTACTTTTACTGTCCCTTCCAATCCTTAAAGTTCATATTATATAGTCTGAGCCCCATGCTCAGAATCTACTCTTCAAGAAGTCAAAATAAGGTGATATTTTCTCCAATTTTGAGTTATGGAGTCCAACAAGCAATTGTTCTGCAGGCTATGAGCTCCCAAGGTAGCAGGTAGAAAGAAGAAGGAAAGAAGAAAAATGGCCCTTTCTCGAGGTAGGAAAGGGACTCTATTTCAGCCTCTCTCAGCCAGAATTCCTCAAGAGAATTAAGTCCTAGAGAAAAGCATTTGACTATTGCCTTAATTCTTTCAAGAATGACAGACACTAGCATCATTCTAGATCAGCCGTGGGCAAACTACGGCCCGCGGGCTGGATCTGCCCTGTTTGAAATGAATAAAACTATTGGGGGAAAAAAAGACCGTACCCTTCTATGTAATGATGTTTACTTTGAATTTATATTAGTTCACACAAACACTCCATCCATGCTTTTGTTCCGGCCCTCTGGCCCAGTTTAAGAACTTATTGTGGCCCTTGAGTCAAAAAGTTTGCCCACCCCTGTTAGATGCACAAGAGAGAAGTCCATCCAGTATATCGATGGATGTCTTGGGGAAATAGTGCTTACTTATCAATCATGAGGAGCTAAAAGATGAATTTGTGATGTCCTAAGCAACGTCACAATTAAAAACATCTTTGACTCTATGTGTGTTGCTACTTTTATATCTTCCATTTAGAACTCCAGCATTAATCTTTACAAATTTGTAAAAACAAAATTTATGTTTCTCTAACATAGTGACTGTGATAAACTTTTTTATAGTATTCCATGTTTTCATGTTTTCACAATGAGCATGACTTGTGTTTAAAATCATAAAAAAACAAGCACCACAAAAAAAGTAAACTACGTTTATTTTTTGCTTAAGCATTTGGATAGACAGCTGTTTACACAGAGCAGGCCAAGCCCTTTCTCCTCAGCTCTGCAGAATGCCTTGGCGTGACCTTGAGGATTTCCTTCTCTCCTTCTAATTGTAAACATTACGGAACATAAGAAAGGTACAATAGAGTCTCTTGGGAAATGTAAGAAAGAAATTTGTTGCCACAGAGAAGTGGACATAGACTCCAGATTATTGGAATAACTAGAGGTTTCAGTTGAAGGAATTGGCTTAACAGTCATTTTTACCACTATTCTACCCTTTACCAAGGTGGTTAAAATGCCTTTCCAAATAAACCTAGGGAAATTATAATGAATTTCAGTTCAATTCCAGACTATACCCCAAAGGAAACTCAATGTACTAACCATATATATATTAGCCATGCCAAATTAAACAGCCACTCCAGTCTAATAGCATTATAATTATCACCACACCTTTTTCTCTGAGAGAAGCAGAGGTGGTGGTTCATTATTTAAGGCAATGTTGAAGTGGGAATCCTCCTTTCTGGCTCCATTGATTGCACCCTTCCTTCGTGAGCTTGAGTTCCTGATTTAAATGGACTTGGCAATGAGGGCCTGAGGTTTCTGGCCCTGCTAAGGCCATGCTGGTTTCTGGTCCCAGGTGTGGTAAGTGATATACAGCACTTGCTGATGGCATTGGGTTTGTTCCTACATTCAACCAAGTAAAAACATAACCCTGACCTCTTTAGATGGAAAGAAAAAGAAATACAGTACTCTTCCAGCTGTCCCTAAGGCCAAGGACAGAAATTCTCAAGAGCGTGAAAAGCTCAGCAAGTGCCAATTTTGGAATTTTTCAGGTTGATGATGCAAATAACCAAGGACAAAGACTGCAACCTCTTTTCAGATTATATACCAACGGTTTTTAAGAGCCGTGTGAGTGCTGCAAGAGAGTAATACACACGAAACCCAAAAGACTGGCCTCCTAGCTGCCCTTCAGTCTCCCAGCTAAAGATCATAATCTTCCACCCTTCACATTCTCTAAATAATGTTAACTGGTGAGCTGTTAAAAAGCTATTAGTATGACTGGTGTCACTTGTCTGTCCTGTACTGTGTGAACATAAGTACATGCCGTAGTCAATTAAGTGCTTGGTGAATAAAAAGTTTAAGGAGCACTAATAAAAAAATCCCATCAATTATGTGTGCTCCATTTAATACCGTGTTGCTTAAAATAAAATTTCTCAAACATATGTTCATTATGGATTGCGTCAGGCAGGGAAACAGAGGTTTTATTTATGCATTTTAAAGTCTTCCTCGGACTGGTGAACCAGAAAAATGAGAATCTAGTTGCAGTGAGGTTCTTACAGTGTCTCTCTGTTGTTTGCAGGCTACAACCCATCTGCCCCATTGAAGGCCGATTCGGAGCCCGCGGGCAGGCTGAGTTCCCTCTCCGTGCCCTGCAGTTTAAGCGCGGCCTGCTGCACGAGTTCCGGAAGGGCAACGTTTCCAAGGAGCAGGTTCGCCTTTATGACCTGGTCCAGCAACTCCCCAAGGCCATTATCATTGGGGTGAGAAAAGGAGGCACCAGGGCCCTGCTTGAGATGCTGAACCTCCATCCAGCTGTGGTCAAAGCCTCTCAAGAAATCCACTTTTTTGACAATGATGAGAATTATGCCAAGGGCATTGAGTGGTATAGAAAAAAGATGCCTTTTTCCTACCCTCAGCAAATCACAATTGAAAAGAGCCCGGCATATTTTATCACAGAGGAGGTTCCGGAAAGGATTTACAAAATGAACTCATCCATCAAGTTGCTGATCATTGTCAGGGAGCCAACCACAAGAGCTATTTCTGACTACACTCAGGTGCTAGAGGGGAAGGAGAGGAAGAATAAAACTTATTACAAGTTTGAGAAGCTGGCAATAGACCCTAATACCTGCGAAGTGAACACCAAATACAAAGCAGTAAGAACCAGCATCTACACCAAACATTTGGAAAGGTGGTTGAAATACTTTCCGATTGAGCAATTTCACATTGTGGATGGAGATCGCCTCATCACAGAACCTCTGCCAGAACTTCAGCTCGTGGAGAAGTTCCTAAATCTTCCCCCAAGAATAAGTCAGTACAATTTGTATTTCAATGTTACCAGAGGGTTCTACTGCTTGCGATTTAACGTTATCTTTAATAAGTGCCTGGCTGGCAGCAAGGGGCGCATTCATCCAGAGGTGGACCCCTCTGTCATTACCAAATTGCGCAAATTCTTTCACCCTTTCAATCAAAAATTTTACCAGATCACTGGGAGGACACTGAACTGGCCCTAGAATAATAAGTCATACAACACCATGTGTTGTACCTGGAGACATGCAATGTCTCCTCTAGATTAAAATATGCACTTTTCCAAGACACAACTGTCGAAGTCATGTTTTCATCTCTACTTGTATATACACAGTGTGTGACCAAATATAAGACCAGTTCTTTTTCTACTGAAAATGTTCAAAACAATTTGCTGTCTGCATAGTTGCATCTTTGAGACGGGATACTGACGGAAGAGGTGTGGTATCGGGGGAAAGTGACTTCAGCTATTCTCAAAGAGTTAGTCTTCCTTTGAGTCAGAATTTGTCACCCGCCATTTACATAAATTGAAGCCAAAAGATGAATGTGTGAAAAGTACCAATGGCTGTGAAGCTGCAGGAAGGAGAGGATTCAGTCATGCATTCTTTTCTAAGGGAAAGCTGGCTCTTTAATTCAGATGCTGAATTGGTGCCATGAAAACAGAAAAATGCTATTTTCTTATGATTTAAAAGGATGTCCTATCTCATAAAATTGACATTGTTCCAAAGTTCCTGTGGTGATTTTGCACTATTGTTTTCTCGTGTGGACCATGATGTCACTTGTAGCATGTCAATCATACATTGGAAAGTCCTTTCACTTCCATGTTCTATGTCAACAAAGAGAAATGTCATGTACATAATGTATATTATTGTAAATACTTGTTTCACACTAAGTAACTCTATTTTGTAAACTGAATATGGCTATTTAATTTATTGTGAAAATTAAATTTATTGTGGTATTTAAAAATGGAATGGATTAAAATTACTCTATGTGCAACTTTTCTTTTCAACTCATTTCTGTCTTACATGCCCCCTGTTTCTGGCTCCCCAAATCAAAGCTGTTTATGTGCACATTGAGAGCACCTGGAAACATGCACTTCTCCATTGGATTTCTGTACCCTTGTGAGATTTATTTATGAAGTGAAGTTGAGTATATTAAAAAAGTCTCAACTATCTGGAAATCTAGTAGAATAGCCCTCAAAGAACACTAGTGCTGCTCTGCTACAACTTTATAACAATTAATTTTCTTGCAGATGCTGCTGTGCCAGGAGAAAGACAAGAAATACTTTAACATAATCGATGCAGAGAAGAATTACAATTTTATTTGAACCTCTAACCAGAGTCAGACCGGTAGAGAAATTGAGTAAAATGAGATTAGAAAACGTGTGTGGCCTCTGTACTGAAAGCTGCTGATGCTTCAAAAATGAATACAAACTCTCTGAACTCCCCCTTTGAAATGAAAATATTATCAATGTACTCAGAAATGATCAAAGTGTGTAGTGTTGTTATTACTAGCCTAAACATATAACTCAGATTTCCATCCAGAGAAATTAATGCTACATTGGGTGCTTACTAACATCAAAGAGATTATATATGCTTAAATATAATTCAGACAACCATGGAAAGAGGTTGGAAAGAGGTATCAGCAAAAATAATAATAATAATAAAAGATGGATTTTTCCCCATCAAGACTGCTTACATTTGACAGAGTTTAGTTTGACACCCCATTGAGAGTGCCTAGAGAAATCAACAAGTTACGATGGATTTTTCTCTATGAGTTGTTTATCCTGTCCAGTGATTTGATGGTGAGCTTTTACAAATAAATAGCCCTTTCCCTCCCAGTGTCGGTGTATATTGCTTCTCAAGCCACAGCCTTGGTAATCTTTGCTGTTTCAGTTAGCAGTGATGCTGTTCTCGCAGCATTGAGCAAGCCTGACACCGACACTGACAGGCTGGCCTCGCGCTCACTGCGCAATAACTCTGGAGCGAGAGTCTTTGGTCTTAATGTCAATCACATCTCCCTTCCACCATGAATGGAATCAAATATAAGGAATCTGTCATCAGATTCCCCTGTGCCTCAACTCTCAGCTAATCATCAGAGGAAACTCTTTGAATACTACATTCAGGACATAATCATACATTGTCAACATTAATTTTTATTTTTTTCTTATATGTTTTTATTGATTTCAGAGAAGAGGGGAGAGGGAGAGAGAGATAGAAACATCAATGATGAGAGAGAATCATTGATCGGCTGCCTCCTGCACACCCCCTACTGGGAATGGAGCTTGCAACCCAAGCATGTGTCCTTGACTAGAATCGAACCTGGGACCCTTCAGTCTGCAGGCTAACGCTCTATCCACTGAGCCAAGCCAGCTAGGGCATCAACATTAATTTTATTATAACTATTCCTAGAGCACTATATGGCTAATAAGTTAAACCAGTGACTGTCAAATTATGCCCCATTGGAATACTGATGTTTCAAAAACTCACCCTAGGTATTTCCACCAGGAAAATTGAAAAATGGCAATCCTTTTCAAGACTCAGAGAGAAATTTTGAAAACAATGAACAGGAGTTTCTCAGCAGTAATCTTTTGTATTCCAATTTTTCTTAAAACGTTGCTACTGCTACCAACAGTGTATATCAGAGTTCATTCTAAGATTCTATTTGACTTATGCTGACTTTTATAATTCGTTATTTTTAGCTCAATAAGCCAGCATTTTTGCATCACATTCAGGGAAAAAAGTGCTGTGATTTCCAGTTATTCCACTTCCTAAATAAATTTGAGGATTGTTTTAAAGTTTGGAGCCTCCCCACAGAGATCTGGCCTGGGGGAATGGGGTGGATTTGGAGGCAGGTTTCATTTCACTGAAACAACAAACAAATAAACAAAAACCACAGCTGCAGCTGATTGGCTAGGCAGAGAGATAAAAAGCCTATGACATAATGGCACACTTCCACAGGAGGCTTTAAACCTCCTTGTTTAGAAAAATGTGTCCTGTTGTCATCAAACAGGGACGGGGGACCTCTGGAGAAATCGCCAGCTCATTACAATAGCCCCACCAGGGTTCTCTTGAATAAGTTATTCTTTCTACATCATGAAAACCATATTCCCTCCAGAGGCCTGGTTGGCACCATATGGCTTTGTGAAACAGTTCTAGCTGCAAAGAGAAAGAAACCGTGTAAGCACCGGTGAAGTTCCTGCTGGACCATAAAGCTGAAATTACACCATTTGGGAAGCCAAGAAATTCCAATTATACAAACAGGAATTAGAGTCTCAAGGGAGTGAGAGACCCCATTGAGAGTGCCTAGAGAACAGAGGGGAAAAGAGACACACAAACCCATAGACAAGCCATCCCAAATTCCAAGTATATCACCTACTCCCTTACAATCACCTCACTCAAACCCTCAAATGATTAAGGTGATGACTTTTCCAACTAATTGCCTACTAGTGAAGGAAAAATCAAAGACATTAGGCTAATGTATGATAAAACAAAGGCACATGAGTCCCTCATATTCACGTCTGATCTGAGATTTGGGACCTTTTGAGTTGATGGGCCAGCAAGAACAGTCATTAATTTCTAGTCCGGACCCACTAAAGTTGAGGGAGCCAAGGAGAGCACTACTTGGGGTGCTGCGCCTGGCACAAGAGTCCTGCAGGAAGACAAGCTCAAGAACCTGTGGGAGCCTTACTGGGACACTGGAGAGGTACTGCTGCTAAGGGAAGGTGGGGATTCAGGACAGTCAGGTGCAGTCCAAATCCCAGTGTTGACAATACACTTCTGCTGTGTCCAAGCAGCTTGCTAAATAGGACTGCCTTCCTAAGCCCAATTTAAGAATTTTCCAGGGATGGAAAATTTCAAATGATTATAAATAGTGTCTTCCTGCTAAAGTTTTTGTGCTCTTTCCGCATACTCAGCAGCCATTTTCCACTTAGGAGAATAGTCTACATTACTGTCTAAGCAAAAAAAAAAAGAAAAAGAAAAAAAAAAACACTTTGCTGAAAACATTCTTCTTAAAAATGATGAAATACAGCAAAATCATAGCAATTTGGGCTAACAAGGTGAAAATATAGAATATATGAAGGCAAATTAATTGCTATTATTCTCTACTACACAAAGTGCCAAACTATAATAACAATATCTTGAAAAACATCTAATTGTACCTGTTTTATCAAATAAAAACCTCTTAATTGCTAATTTTTCCAAATTGGTGTTACTCGAGTATTTCAATAACAGTCTTTCCTCTTAAGGAGGTTATGCATGCCCCCAAGTATCTGCTTATCAATTTTTATAGCTAGTGCAAGGATGAAATTTGGGCCAAAATATGATCATTTGGTAAGGGTCTAATAAATGGTACCTTACTACATATCTCAAAAAACATTGTGCACTTTGATTTATTTATAATTACATTTGATTGTACCTTTGAGGAATAAGAATGACATTTCATAATGATTAGAGAGGGACTGAGGAGTTGAACAGGCATACTACACTGATAGCAATATGTATTTCCTATAGCAGGGACCTGATTGGTGTCAGTCACACAAAGCAAGCTGCAGCAGGCCTGCCCGCTCCCTTATCGGGCTAGTTCTGTCACTTGTGGATTTATGAACATAAAAGTGTCCAAGTCTTAGGGAACTGTTGGTAAAAGGGTTGTTTCTAAACATACATGTCATCCCCCTTGAAAGAGTCCACTGAGAAGGTGAGCCACTCCCAGTAGACTGGGAACATCATTTCAAAGAGCTGACTTGCCTCTGGCTGACCCTGCAACATTTCTAAACTCACACAACTCTGCTTTGCATTTCCTTCCCTTTAATGACACCAGGGGAAAATCTTGAAGGCCAACTACAAAACTGCCTGTTCCTTTAGTGAGGGCACTAAAGGTTTGAACTTAGAGTATAAAAGAACTTGTAATTGATGCATGGCGGGTCATCTAACACTAGGTCCTGCAAATAAATTTCAAGGTAAGGCCTTCCAGCAACACCGGATGACAATGTGACCACACCAAACAGAATTAATAGTATAAATGGGTGGGTTAAAGTTTAGAAGCCAGAGGAGGGAGCAGCTAACTCAGCCTGGAGGAGTCAGGAGGACATCAGTGAGACGATGCTTAAATGGAGAACAAGATCATTGTACCGCACAAGGCAGACAAGCAGGAAAAATGGGCTCCAGGATGAGGCAGGCAGAACAAAAGCATGAGGTCCGGAAGAGACTAGGAAGTCCACAAAGGTGGACAGTGGAGCATGTGTGAGAGAAGATGAAAGCAAGGAATGGAAACCGTGCCAGAGCTTCCCAGGTCTTGAGCAAGCCCTACCTGTGGGCACACCCCACCACTCGGGATGAGGGGCCCTTGCCTGCCTTCTTGGATCTGCACCTGTTGATCCGTAGAAGCTACATATTTAAGAATGGAGATGAGACGATGACATTATTCTAAGTCTTCTTTCAAACAATTGGTGCCCAGAGAATTGTAGTTTTCCTCCCCACTCTTGTTTACTTGTTGGATCCCTCACTTCTATTCCTGGCCAGCAGCTTTGCTAAAGCTGATGGAATCCTTCAGATCGGGCTCATTTTTTCATCAGGACTGAGGCAAAGGTATCTTTTGAAAGCCAGCTCTCTGCATACGTAGTCTGTGGAAGTTATAGTGTCCGTCTGCCACTGAACATCTCACTATAATTCCACTCATCCTGAAACCACATGGAAATGAGAAGAAATCAAACACAACATTCTCCCACAAGAAAGGCATAATAATAGTGTTTTCAAAAGTGTGCAGGGAAATATTTGTTTCATTGGAAACAAAGGATATGTAAGCTAAATTTTTTTTGGTGGGGAGGGGGTGTGGAATGGACAAGTCAATTTGTCTCTCTGGGCTTCAGTTTCCTATTAAATAAAATGGAAGAATCAGAATAAGGGACGTTTAAGATATTTCAATATGATGTTGTACCAATAGATAAAGTGATGATTGGAGCATTCCTTGTGACATTGCCACGAAATCAGGAATCT